TTGACTACTGCGGTTGTTTGGCTGGGATGTTGCCTGTGGAAATCACAAAGCAGAGAATTTTGAGAAATTGAACAGGTATTTTGTGAAACTTGAGAACGCCGTTTCAAAATTGTCTTCCATTTACCTTTCACTTGCTTAAGAAACCCTACCTAGCTAAGAAGACTGACAGGCACCCGCCAAAATTTGAACAAGCATCCAGGAACGTAAAATTGGTGAATGGTGTCAATCGTAGCAGCTAAAAAAAAAACAATACTGTCATTTTATTGATTTTTCTTCACACGGAGGAATTTTAATAACAATCACAGTCCTGTGGCTTGTGGTATTAAGAAATCCCCATTCCCAAACGCCGGTTTGGAAGCATCCTTCTAAATCAAACTTAACCAAAAGGAAAAAGAGAAGAAAATTCAATTATCCTCATTCTGCTACCAGAAATTGTTGTTTTATCTTTCCCTCTCATCTTACCATTAACTTTCTTCCTTTTCAAAAGAAAAAAAACTTTTCTCTTACAGGAAAATTGGAAGCAGCCAATTACTATCCTGTCCTCTGCTTCGTTTTGTTCTTTTCTTTTTCTTTCATCCCTCCGTTCTCTAGCTGTGCTACCTCTGTGCTTACTAATTTTCCCCACAGAGACTACAAATTAGGAGCACACCCACCAGAGAATCACAGTAACCGAGAACTACACTCACCTGTCACTTACACACTCACTGTCAAACCACATGTGACATTGCACACTTACACCCCTGTTTTGCCTTGTTTGTTTTGTTTTGTTTGTTTCCTCTTCTTCAAGGTCTATGTCAGTCTAGGTTCTAAGATCTCCCTCACCACGCCACCTCCTACCTTGAAACACTGAGGCATCAGACACAAGACCAGCTGGATGACAACATAGCAAACCTCATTAAACAAGACCCAAAGACCCAATACAGTCACAAAGAATTAGCAAAGATCACCGGCTCCTTAAGCCACACACTCATCGCCACCCTCAAGCTGAGCGACAGGCACGCCGCCCATCTCCAGCAGGAGCTAACACGCGCACAACGACGCGTCGAGCAGCTAGAACTGGAGGCTCAGGAACGACAGGAAGGGCATGAGGAAGTGGAACAAGGCGCCGAGGAGGAGATCACTAGGCTAAAAGAAACCCTAGCAACCGCTATCCAAGAAATGGAACGAGGCAAGGCTGACCACGCTGATCTCTCCAGCAAGCTGCAATATGCCGAACAGCTCCTGGAAAAGGCAAAGGCCGACTTCAGAGACAAGAACGGCCGAATCAAAGCCCTTGAAACTCACCTGGATGAGTCCAGAAACGAGATCAGTCGCCTAACACTACAGCTGGACTACATCAAAGAGAAGTCCGACAGCATCAGAGAGGAACTCAGACATGCCTACGAGCTGCGCCCTGAGCCTACAAGGACCCGACGAGCACCAGTCTCACCCCTGCCCAGCAGGACCGGGTCACCTGTTCCTCTACTGACACGTGAGCAAAAGGGGGAGGGGGCAGTGCTGAAACATTCACCGACTCCCTCTGAAGAACCTTACCTCACGACAAAGCTAAGAGAACTTGCTCCAGCCAGCCACAGAGCATCGCATGGCTTGGACCTCAAAGATCTCGACAAGCTTGCCAGAAACATTGGCAAATTCACCCCAAGTGTACCAGGTAGCCAGGATGTCCAAGCTTATCTGCAAGACATCGATTTCCACCTGGAAATGAGGCTCAATGTCACGGACAAAGATAGACTCTATTTGCTCCGAACAACAGCCAGCCCTGACGTACGCAGTTTCCTGGACAGGCAACCTGCTCACACAAAGGCTGACTACCCCCTCCTCCGAGAGGCCCTCATTAAAGAATTCGCCGACCCTGAGTCAGAACAAGGACTGGTGGCTGCCCTGGAGACGAGACAAGGACGTCAGGAATCTCCTCAAGCCTACTACAGCCGACTCAGACGAGCATACTTCGGAACTCGCAACGAACCGAACATGGAAGAGGATCTAAACTTCAAAACTCTCTTCCTGAGAAACCTCCATCCCGGAGTAAGCCACCATCTGGGCGTTCTCGCATGTCCTCGGACAATGAAGGCTCAACAGTTGCGTGACTTGGCACAGAAAGCCTACGGCAAACAGAAAATGGCCTCAGAAAAGGGCGCCAAAACCCCAACAGTTCTTGACTTCAACACTCAAAGTCAAGGTCTGGCTCTAGAGGGCGCCCAACATCAAGACCATGCCAAGCCGCCACACAAAGAGTGGAACACACCCTCGTCCAACAGAGAACGAGACTCCCATGCTGGTACCCGACCTAAACAGAGGAACAACCGCTGGGATGGACCGCGTGGACGTCAACACTCACCTGGACGTCACTGGGAAAAACCTTGGGACCAATCCAGACCTCGTGAGACTCAATGGGACAGATCGTGGAATCAGCCCAACTCATTTGGAAACTCAAGAGGAAAAGGCTCATGGGAATCCAACGGAACCTCCAAGGGAAAACGACAGACACACCCTGGAGCACCCAGTCCAAGGAATCAACGAAGAAACTCGCAAAGATTCCAAGCTGACCAAGCTCAAACTGAATCCACACCAGAACAAAACACATCACCGTGTTTCGACTCACAAGAGCTAATGAAAATGATGATGAAAGAGTTCTTCCACCGAAAGGAGGAGGACCGGAAGTGGGAAAAGAAAGAGAAACCAGAGTCAGCCTGACTAGCAGTCGGAAGAGAAGGCAGCGACCAGCTGACCCAACCAGCCACAAAGAACAGCACTCCTTCACCTCACTCTCAGAGAACAGTAACCTCTATAACTTCAGACGGACAAGAAATCCTACCTGAACAACCCGCAAAACAGTCAGAAACTGACCCAACACCTGATGCGTCAGATCACAGCAGCGTCCGACAAACACCTGCTGACGAAACCACTCAAGTTCCTGAAAGTGCTGTCTTGGTCATCTGCCACTCCTCCGATGAACACCAGATCAGTCCTGACATCCTACCTGTCTCATCCCAAACTCCAGTCCCTCAACTACTGGGCGACCTCATTGAGAAAGGTATAGCACGAAAGTTTTACCTCTCCATCATCATCGAACGCCACATCAAAGTCGAAGCCCTTCTGGACACGGGAGCCGACATCACTCTAATGTCAACTGAACTCCTTGAAGAAGTCCAAGAAAGAACAAAGAGGTCTAATAGCACCCTCAAACTTCAAAGGTGCGAGCTGAACCTTCAAGCGTATTCCCACACGGGCCTACAACTAAACCACATGGCCCCAATTCACCTAACTGTGGGACCAATGGACCTTGTTCACCCAGTATACGTCTCACCACTCAACACGTATCCACTCCTCATTGGAAAAGACCTGCTTAATCGCTTTGAACCCTTAATTGACTTCAAGCAACTAAAGATATGGACGCAAGTCCGTGAGCCTCTACCCTGCCAGTCAGTAGACCCCAACGAGTCGCAGTGTCAAACCACAGACACCGCCGCCAACTCACTGACTGATGATGCAATGTCAAAGCCAGGGCCAGGGCCAAGCTCAATTCCAAGCAGCAAGAACCTGGACCCTTTCCTCTGCTCATTGCAGGCGCCTGACTCAGACTCAGGCCTCCTTCGAATCATGACTGCCATAAATGTCCACGACACCTCAGTGTCCGACGCGGCATTAACCCTGTGGTCGGAGAACTCAGCTATCAGCCTGAAGCTATTCAGAGCATTGAATCAAGGACAGCCGAGCCTCCCACATGTCTCAAGACACAGTCGCTTCCCTCTCAGTCCCGGGTCGACAACCATGGCTACCTCCAAGATTATCTGCGCTGTGGATATACGATGGAACAACAGACACCTGAGTCACTACTTCCTCGTTGTCTCCAACCTATCTCATGACATCTGCATTGGAGCAGACATCATGGTCCGGCTCAATGCCTGTGTGGACATCGTGAACGACGTCATATGGGCTCCCCTGTCACACCAACTGACCACGGCAGTCAACCTCAAGAACCTTCGATCTGGTCAAACAATGCCAGACGCATGTGCCATGATCAGTGAGCAAGAAGCTGCAATACCTGCCTACAGCAAGAGTGTCAGCGTCCGCCTCAACATGCGACCTGGCCACTCTCTCGACAGTAAGCTAGGCTTCTTCCAACCTTCCAGGATCTGCCTAAGACTAGGACTGACCTTGGAAGCCACACCTCTCATTGAAGTGTCATCTCGTGCTGTGTACATATTGTTCAACAACTGTACGGCCAAAGACATCAACATTCCCAAAGCCAGTCACCTGGGATGGCTTATTAACCAGACGTTCCATGACTTTGAGCTAACGGTGCCGGTCATAGGCCACATACCAGTACCACTACTGTCAGATGAATATGATGACACAGTAACGTTCACGAGACCCAATGGAACCATTGCCATCACTTCTATTCTACCAGTGCCCAGAGAAAGCGTCTGCCGATCAGAAATCACAGACGACACTCACCTTGCAGTCTATGCTGTCTCAACACAGCTCGCAACAGAATCACCTGCACTGGTGACCATCAAGTAAGTAAAGAATGAGTGGAATTGATCTATAGCACACTATCTGATGCGTTACTTTAGCTGACGGCTGCATGGTTACAATTTTATCTCTAAAAGTATCGATCTTGGAAGTAAAGTAGTTCATAAAGTCATTACTGCTGTGCTGTTGGGAAATGTCAACATTTGTTGATGCTTTATTTTTCGTTAATTTAGCCACTGTATTGAATAAATACCTGGGGCTATGTCTGTTTTCTTCTAAAAGAGACGAAAAGTAATCAGATCGAGCAGTTTTTAATTATTTTCTGTAGGATAGGGTACTTTCCCGCCAAGCAATACGAAATACCTCTAGATTTGTATTCCTCCAGCTGCGCTCCATTTTCCGGGCTGCTCTCTTTAGGGTGCGAGTGTGCTCATTATACCACGGTGTCAGACTGTTTTCCTTAATCTTCCTTAAAGGGATAGTTCACCCAAAAATGAACATTTGATGTTTATCTGCTTACCCCCAGGGCATCCAAGATGTAGGTGGCTTTGTTTCTTCAGTAGAACACATATGATGATTTTTAACTTTAACCGTTGCAGTCTATCAGTCGTATAATGCATGACAATGGTAACAAAATCTATGAGAGTAAAAAAAACATGCACAGACAAATCCAAATCCCTGCAGCTCGTGACGACACATTGATGTCCTAAGACACGAAACGATCAGTTTGTGCCAGAAACCGAACAGTATTTATATAATTTTTTACCTCTAATACACCACTATGTCCAACTGTCTTTGGGCGTGCGCACGGCATCCGGTGCGTGAGGTGTGTACGCGCTCTGGCGTAGTTTACGTTAATGGGTGTG